CTGAAAAGCAAAGCGAGACTGACAGAAGAAGGTCCCGGGCGGTGCGGGAGCGGCGGGGGGAAAGGGCAGCAGGAGGGGGGTCGTAGGGCTGCGCGCTGCTGCGTTTTGGGGGTGCCTGCTTCCTCCTCTGCCCCGGTGCCCTTCACCACATAACATGTCTACGGATGGGAAACCGCAGGGGATCTGATTTGTTTCAGATGGGGAGAAGCCCCAACCTCGTATTTCTCGATGTTTCAGGTCTAAGCAGAATGGAGCCGTCGGAGAGGCGGCACAAGGATTTCATCGCTTTCAAGCCGCCGGACAAAAAATGCCACCCAAAAAGGGATGGAGTCACGGGTGAGCGGGGCCGGGGGGCACCAATGGCATACAGCAGAGCGGGCTTGATGCTTGCAGGTGCCACCAGCGCGCTAGGTGTGAGCAAACGCAGGCTACTGGCCAGAGCGTGGGGTGGGAGGAGAGGACCAGCTCCATCCCCCACGGCGGGAACGATTCCCCGTGTCACCTTGGGCCATCTCCTTCTCCTCCTCGTTCTCAATTTCAAAACGGTTAGTCCGTATCTGTGTCACAGGGATTTGAGAAGGCTTAAGCCGGGTCTGTGAGGTGGTCTTTCATCTTCTCACCTTTGATTCGGTATAAAAGATCACCTCTGAGATGTCCTTTCAGGGAGACTGAAGTAAATCTCCTGGAAAAGCCAGCTTTAGCGCCTGTCTGTGCCTGTGATGATCTGTTGCATGTTAATAAAATGGGGATTTCTCAACCAGCCTTGCTAACTTCACGCAAAGCTGATGAAACCTCTGTGGGCACTTTTATTGCAGTTCAGTTTAAACAGAAACAGTCTCGAAGTCAATGAGGAATAAGAGTTAAACCAAGCTGAAATGAGGCCTTGACCTGCAAGCACCCAAGCTCATTTTTTATTTTAAGTACGGGTGGCAGAGTCAGAGAAGACAGTAGGTCTCCACACAAATGTGTTACTCAGCCAGGATTTCACCACCCTTCCTATAAACATGGACATTACAGATGTCCCCAGTGGAGCTAGGTATTGGGGGGCAACAGTCCCTTTGTGGGAAACGGGCTTGAATCATTCATCTGCCTAGGATGAGAAAAATTGCACACTTGAAATACCCAGTTCTCTCCATTGCCTATGAAGGGGCTGGAGGCGGCTGGCTCAGATGTTGACTTCTGCTCAGTCAACATCTGGGTTTACTCAGGTGAAATCCACCACCAGCATTTGCGGAATTGGCTGTGTACTGGGTTAACTAAGCCAGTTTGGGCTAATATTTGTGGGAAAGGCCTTGCACACCTGGATGGAGAGCATTTTGCTCTAAACTTATGTACAAGTCAGACCAGTTTCGACAAAGAAGCCTGAATTTTGGCGTGAAGGGCATCGCTGAATGCACCCCAGTTAAAAAATTTGGCTTTTGTGTTATGAGCAGCTGGGGGTGGGGGGAACTTTATTCTGAATGTGACAAAGAACACATTCACACAGGCAAGAAACAAATTCCTGAAGGAGTCTCTACTGCGTTGCTTTAAAGGGTTGTATTCATTCTGTCCCAGCCCTGACTTTTGGATATTTTCTAAACTCTGGTCTGACTCTGGATCTCACACTGGATGCAGGTTGCTAGATCTTTGTGCCTGAAAGACTCTGGCTGGCTGGATTTCAGGCTTGTGTTATCCAGTAAGGAGGTGTTGCACCATGACATGGGGTGGTGGTAAGCGATCAGGACCAGGACTGTCCTCTCTCTTTGTAGCAGCCCACACCAAGTGGCTTTCTAGGAGTTGCTCTCTGGGCCTATTCTTGAAAGACGCTCAGCAGGGTTTTGTGTTGAATTTTCTCAGCTCTGCCCTTTCCTAGTGTGAGCTAATCCCCTGCCTTCCCAGGCCTGATTGTGAAGCACTTCCAGAAGACCTTCCAGAGGCCCATCTCCTTGCAGCTGTCTTCTCCCATGGGTCTTTCTCAGTGCTGCTCAGGTAGGCAAGGCTGTTGAGGGTGTTGACATCTGCCAACTTTTCTTAAATGGGCTTCTGGGGTTACATGGCACTTGCAAAAAGCCAGTGGGTTTGAAACAGATGATTTCTGAAGGATCAGTCCCTAGGTGGCCAGCTGTTTGCAGGGCAGTCACTGACCTTGGGGAGTCGTATTGGTGCAGAGAGCCTAAAAGGCCTTATGAAGAATGGAGAGGTGTTGAAACCTTACTCATTTAAACACATAGAGGTCTCAAACTGTTCTCTGGGCATGTTCTGGCTCCTCTTCTGGTCTTTAGCATGCAGGATTTGAGGACAGCAAACACACAGAGGATTGTGGTCAGGAGTCTGCTCTCTAGAGGGACAGGCTCTGTGGGAATGTAGGAGAACTTACCTCCCGGACACATCGGCTGCTCGAGGCCTGTGTTTGGACCAGTTTCTGGGCAGGGATGTTAGCTGCTAGGTTTTCACAGGATCTGTGCACTCAGTTTGGGACTGTACCGAACCCTGGAGAAAAGGCCGGGCTGCGGAAGGGTCTGAGGGACCTTCTAGTCAAAGGGCCCTTAATGGAAGTGGAAAATGCTCCTGAGGAGATCGAGATCTGGGTTTAGGGCTGAGCTGGCAACCAAGACACCCTAATCTTGGCTCTGAATAGAGCATCTCCATTGCTGGGGACCAAGGATCAGAAAGCAGATGTTTTTGCCACTCACATCCTACAGTTTCCCTGCCTGCAGCTCAAAAATCCCCCAGCTGTTACCGTAGTCCAAAGGGGCTTTAACCAGTGGTGTCTTCTGTTGTTTTCCTTCTCCCTGCAGCTGCTCTTCATCCCTCTCCCCCACGTTTTCAGCTTAAAATGCTGTCCTTCATCCTGGCACCAGCTCACAGTGAGGCACAAACCTCTCCAGCAGAGCACACTGAGAATTGTCCCTGCGGAGCGGAACGGCTCATTAAAACGCCCTGTTTCTCTACAAGGCGAATGTTTTTAATGAAAACACTTGTGTGTGAGTGTTTGTGCGTGTCCATATTGAGTTGTTCTGTTCCTACAGGCTCTTGTCCAAACTTGATGACAAGTAAAAGTGAAGCACACGAAGAGAAGCCTGGGTATGTGGCATCTGTAGCCCAGCAGCCTGGCAGGACGCTCTGGTCACTCTCCTCATCACTGCCATCAGGAGAGGACGGCCAGTTCAACCACCAAGCACTCCAGGACGGGCAGAGTGGTTTGCAGGCCCAGGTGAGCGTTCACTGCATGCTCATGCCTCTGTCCCAAGGGAACGGGCTGGCTGGGTGTTTGGGCTAGAGATGTGCAAGGTCTTCAGGGCTTCTAGTATCTACTGGTGGGTTGGACCCCGAGTGCTGCTGTGGGCAAAGTCTACTGCTAGGTCATGTCTCCTTGTGCTTGCAGCGGAGAGCTGAATTTCTGCAGTCTCACCAGTCCTTTCCTGTTTTGCAGATGGACGAGGCTCAGAGCAGAGGGGCAGCCCATAGCACATGGTCCCCAGTGCAGGCACCCCTCTCTTGTGCCCGCAGATCCAGTCCTACTCTGGGTCCTCTCCTGCCTTGTCCAGTGGACCCCCTTTCCAAAGCCAAGCTTTCCAGCTGCTTCTCCTTGTTCTCGCCACCGTCATGGAGCAGCAGCTCAGAACCAGATTCCAGCCCTCTGTCCAGAGTGGGCTCCAAGAAAACTTGCAAGGGTACCTGGAAGAAGAAATCACATCCTGAGGATCCCAGCGGTCTGAAGCCAGGAGAGCCTGTGTGTTTCCACTTCACAGAACCCATCATCGCTAGGATAACAGACTGCATCTACCTGGGGAACCTCAATGCTGCCTACAGTGGGCGGGCACTGTGCAAAAATGGCATTGACAGCATCATCGATATGAGCAGTCTGCCCAGTGACCGCAGCCTGAGCATCATTCCCTGCACCTGTGGCCGGGGAGGGTTCAGGCACAGCTGGTCACGCCTCAAGGTTGACATCCAGGCTCCCCTGGATGGGGACCAACATGAACTGGGACAACCTTGCTTCCGGGACATCAATGAGTGCATCCAAGCCTCGCTGGAGAAAGGGAAGCGTGTCCTTATCCACTGTAGAGATGGTTACTCTCTAGGCCCTACTTGCGTCATCCAGTACTTGATGGTCAAGCACAGCATGAGACTGCTGACAGCCTATGAGTTTGTGAGGGCACGGTACCCGCTGAACATCCAGGAGTGCCACCAGGACCTGCTGGTGGGTTTGGAGACATCCCTGCAGCCTGGAGGTGTCAACATGGCATGCCTGAAGCACTCCTTGTCAAGGAAGATGGCATGGAGCTAAAAGGGCAGGGTTGCTGTGCTGTCTGGCAGCAGCCCTGAAGATGAAAAGCCAAACTGAACATGGCCTTAACTTATCTCATAGGTGAATGAGATGACTGTTGCTGTGGGGTATTTAGGAAAGAGCTGGGGCAAGATGCAAAGGCTGCGGCCTTCCTTTTTAGCAGTTCCTAGGGTCTGGTGCCAGCAGAAGTCAAGCGTGGGGAACTCTTTTAGGGAAACACCAGAGGGAGAGGGAGTATCCTGGGTGGGGTGGGATGGGAACCATGTGCGTTGCTCTGATGTGATTTTGGGAAAGCAAAGGGGAGCCAGACATTGGTTTGTTCAGTGATCCTGCCTGATTTTTTTACCATGAGCACATCTGCTGGGGAGTAGAAGGCCTAGGTCCTTACTGACAGCATCATCCTTGGAAATAAGAGCTGCTTCTTCCAGATGTGTTAAGACCAGAGAGCAGGATGGGATCGTGTAGAGGAGTAGAGCCACTTCTGGCACTGGAGGACCATTCAGAACCATAGTAAACAGGATCTAGGTAGTGATAGATGGAAACATAATGTTAGCTGGTACATACTGGATTAGTTAGTCCACAAACATGACTATGCAGTGAATGAAGTGCTTTATAGGACACAGTGCCTGTCCACTTGATGCTTGTAGGATCAAGAGGAGGCATCCAGTAGTATAAGTGTAAGGAGATGGCCTTGAGGAATAGCTTGGACCCGTGGTGGTTCTCCCTTGGAAGACCATAGCCCAGAAGTGCGATACCTGAATCTCTTTAAAATATAATGCAGAACCTCCTTTATGTGCCAGATCTTCCCTCTGCCTGGGCCTTGCAGAGACAATGCAGCTGCTCTGGGGAATGGTGGGTTGCACCCGCTGCGTGTCCTCTTAGTAGGAGGGGAGGGGAACAAGGCAAGGGGACTGGTCATCTGCTCCACAGGAAACGTAAAGTCTGAACACTGCGTCCACTCCTGGCTCCTGCGGCCTTGCCCTCACTGAGCCATGTTCCTCTCTGAAGGACTTGACGGGAGTTTCCTTATGTTTTCCTTGAGTTTTTCTGCAAGGAATTTGTTCACTTGTCACCCAAACGCTTACTCTACTTCGTTTAGAAACCATTATCTTTCTTAATGTCAACTGCCTCTCCTACTTTGGGTTGTTTCTGTTTTTCTATTCTTCCTGGTGCTCATTGGATTTCTTCCTCATGACATTCTTGGTCTGGGGCCTCTTCTTATTTTTAGAGAGCTATCTTCTTAATTTTAGAGAGCTATCCTAGAGTTTGACCTCTGGACAAGGCAACTCTAGAGAAAACCTTAAGCAGACTTGAAGGCTCGACCTTCTACTCACCCTATTCCCGCACCTCACCCTCCAGTCACTGGCCCTCTTGACCTTCCTTATCCTAAAATCACATCTGCTAGTCAAAACTTTTTCCCTGAGACTCCTTGCTTTGTGCAAAAACAGTGTAGTGAAAGGAGAGCCATTTCTGTGAACTCCCCACTTACCGATTTCAGACCAAATACTTGCAGGCACAAAGTAATAACTAAAAACTTGAATTCAGAGCAAATCTTTTTTTTCCTGTGCAGCATGCCTGCACTCCAGGAAGTTCAAAGAGCCTTCCTTTCATGGAGCTGAATGAAACTCCTTGGGTGCGGATAAGTTTTGAGCTGATAACTCCCCAGTTTTGATTCTTCCTCCAAAAGCTGAGCCACTGTCTTGAGGACCTGTGAGCCAACAATCAAGTCACCATACACGCCAATATGTGTAGTTGCATAGGGAGCCGAAAAAATATTGCTGTAGAAACTTTGGAATAATAAAGAATTGGTTTAAGTGAGACAAACATGGCTTACAGAGTTGGTACTGAGAAGAAAAGTGAAGCAGCTCAGCTGTTTCTTAATGGATGGTTTCTACTGCTGGCTGGTGGAGGGTGGTCGCTGTCCATCTTCAAACAGTTTTCTGTGTTGCTTGCTTTGGTCTGCTTTTTATCGTTTCTGAGAAACTAGCTTTATCTGGGACAAGCAGACATTCCTCCTGCCAAACTGTCTGCTTTTGCTGAAGACCAGATGGGAGACGGATGCTGGGTGGGCCTTAATTTTAAATTGCCCACAATGAGGCCTGCACCAACGAGTCCTCTTCAGTGGCAGTAGCAAGAGATGCACGGCAGGAGCTGCTGGAGTTTTAACCTATGTGTTTTGTAGGCCTGCCTGGAGCTGAAGACCTGTCTCCACTGCAGTACAGACTGCCCCAGGGACAAGGATGTGGAGGACATGACACGCAGTATGGCCTGGGGACGGGAAGGTGCAGCGTGCTCTGCAGGGACCCTGGCCCGGGGAGACGTGCAGAGGGCCTGGGAGGAGACGGAGATCCTTGTGCCTCTCTTCTCCTTTCCCAGCAGATGGTGCTCAGAAGTCACGATGCGCCCGTGCCCCCACCACCACAGCCTCGTTCGGGAGGGGCTGGTGTGGCTTGGCCGTGCTCTGCTTCGCGAGCAGGAGCAGGGGTTGCTCTTCGCAGGAGCTGCTTCCGCGCGGAGGCACGCTCAGATCGGGCTGATTCTCGTTACAGCTCTTCCCCAGCCCGGCTCCTTTTCGAGGTGCTGACTCACAGCCCGAACGGGCAGCGGAGCAGCGCTCAGGGAACAGTCAGCCTGGGTTACCCAAATTCAGCCTGCACCAATCCAATCTACAGATGAAAGAAAGCATATTCTTGGTCTTTCCCACTGGTGGGGGATCGTCCACCCAGCTGCCACCGCCAGCCAGCAACCGCTGCCGAATCACCATTTCTCTGTGCATTTGCAGGAGTCCTGCAGTGGGTTAGCAAGGGGGAATCTCACATCAACAGCCACCGAAACTCCTGACTTGGTGGGGTGGTGCTGATCTCACTACACCCACCGCCTAGCCCTTGATGTTCCAGGGAGACAAATCCTGAGCAGAGCCAGCCTTGCCCGCACTGTGGCTTCCTCTCCGCTCGCCCTGCCACGGGACGTGGGGGCAACCCCCTGCCTGCTGCAGAGGCAGCACTGGTGTTTCGCGCCAGGGACTGGCTGTTCCTTCGCAGGCGTCCGCAGCTGGGGGTTGCATCGTGCTAAAGGTGGTGAAACAGGAAGTCTGCAGCAGCAGATTTGTTGCTTGTATAGACAACGTCTGAGAGGCTTTTGGAAAAATTTGTCAGGGCCACCTCTGAGTCAGCCTAAAAACTGTGGCTGAAAGGGGAGGGAGTGCCTGACCTGAGGAAAGAGGGCAGGAGCTCCTTGGGCTCCTATCCCTGTGGGATCCTCCGTCTTCCCTTCCCTTGGGCCCACGGAGGCAAGGGTCTGGGGCATGCCCCAGCAGACTCTGGGGTTACCCTTTCTTGCTGGTCGTGTGGGGCTGCTCCCCCACGCATTGCTCCTTCTCCCATTTACTAACGGGCTGCTCCTGGCAGCTCTGACCTTGCTG